TTCTTTTTTTTTGAGACAGTCTTGCTGTGCTGGCTAGGTTGGCTCTGTCACTAAAAAGATCTACCTGCCTCAGCCTCCTGAGCACTGATATTACAGATGTGAGTAACCAAAGCAACTGCATAAACCTCTTATATCCAGGGATATAACTGTGGTGACACATTCATACAATAGAATATTCTGTACTTATGATAAAAAGGTATTCCCACAGGAAGACCTTCAAGTTGTAGGTTAAAAGTTGGGTTCCTGCTTGTGTGTGCAGTGCTGAGTTTCTCACAGGTGACTTTTTTATTTTTTATTTTTGTTTTTTCAAGACAGGGTTTCTCTGTGTAGCTTTGGAGCCTGTCCTGGAACTTACTTTGTATATCAGGCTGGCCTTGAACTCACTGAGATCTGCCTGCCTCTGCCTCCCAAATGTTGGGATTAAAGGCCTGCGCCACCGCTGCCCAGCTGTGACTTTAGTTTTGAGAGAGGGTTTCTCACTGAATCCAGAGCCCACATAAAAGTGGAAAAACCATCTCCACAAGGTTTTGGCTAGAGTATCTGACCAGCAAGCTCTCGGGGCTCTTCTATCCTCACTTCTCTGGTAACATGGGTGCTGGAGATCTGAACTTAGAGAGTCCTATGCTTGCATGATAGGCACTTTACTGACTGAGCCATCTCCCTAGCCCTGATGTACTGGTAAAACATCCACAAATCAAGGATACAAAGTCTTAAAAACAACTCTTGGGGATGGAGAGATGGCTCAGAGGTTAAGAGCACTGGCTGTTCTTCCAGAGGACTTGAGTTCAATTCCAAGCAACCACATGGTGACTCACAACCATCTGTAATGAGATCATCTGGTGCCCTCTTTTGAACATTGTATACATAATAAATTCATATATATAAAAAAATCAACCCCTGATGATTGTAGACTTAAGGGTAATTTTTCAAACACTGTAAGATTTTTGTTTTTAAAATAGAAGGAAGAGAGGACAGTGGGGACAGAGAATAGGCCAGCAGGTAAATGTTAGGCCCAGGCTAGATAACTGCACAATGAAGCGATTGCCGAACCTGCCATGCTCAACTCAGGAGTACTGATAGTAGGCCTTGACTCCAGAGAGGGAGGCTGGGATTGTTTCACTGTCTATCCAGAAGAAGCACCATTTTCCTTATTAGTGTCCTGGTAATTTGGGACTGGAAAGAGCCTCGTGGCTAAGAGCACTTGTTGCTCTTCTAGAAGACCTGAGTTTAATTCCCAGCACCCATGTAGCAGCTCGCAACTGTCTGACTTTAGAGGATCTGATGTCCTTTTTGGCTTCTGGGTACACGGTACACATTTGATGCACCAGTAAAACACTCCTATACATAAAAGTATAAATAAATCTTGTAACTCTGATTGTTGTAGACTTACGGGTAATTTTCCAGCATCATGATTTAAAATAATTAAGAGTCAGCGAGATGGCTCAGTGGATAAAGGCACTTGCCCTTGGTCCTTACATCCTGAGTTCCATCCCTAGGACCATGTGGTGGAAGGATAGAACCCACCCCAAATTGTCCTCTTATCTGCACGTGAGTGCCATGGCATGAACACACCCATACAGAAAATTAGAATCTTAGTAGAAGCAGGAAAATTCTGCAGATTACTAAAGAACTAAAGTGAAAGTTGACAGTGATGGGTAGAGCCAGGCACTGGCCTGGAACCCCAGCAAGCTGTGCCCCCACCCAATGACTGATTTGAACAGAACTTTGCAACCTAAACTCTGCTTAGAAAATAAATTGGCACAGGGGGAGCAACACTGGCTAAATCACACAGACACAGGCGGAGATAGTCGGTTCCTGAGAACAGGCAGGGCTGTCTTAGAAGAACACTGAACCAAAAACACCTAATGGCCTGTAGGCATAGCTGGGGCAGGTGTGTGACTCCTTTTGGTGCCATGACCACTTGTCCTCTAGACCTGTGAGAGGCAGGCATTCTGTCACCCACATCACACTGGTGAAGAGAGTGGAGGCACAAGACTGAGAAGCTTGCCCAGGATGACCTTGAACTTCTGATTCTCCTGCTTCCACCATCAAGGTACACATCACTGTCTGCCACTGGGACGTGTAGGCACTATTCTAGGCAGTTCTGTGCTTTATGAGCTACATTAACTCATCCTCTCAACCCCCTGTGCCATAGGGGGTTCTTCCTGCTTCATAGATGGCTTAAGAGGGGTTAATTAACTAGCAAGGGTCATTGAGCTAGAATTTGAACCAAGACAGTCTGGCACCAGACCTTTGAAACCGTACTATCAAATGATTTTTCATCCACTGGAGGGTGCTTTTAGCACTAATACCATAAATCTGGTACTCTGATGGATTGATTCTGTCTTTGACCTGTATTATGAAATAATTTTTTAAAGTCCCCCTCCCTCTCCAGACAGGACCTTACTTGTGTAGCCCTGGCTTGGTCTAGAACTCTGTAGGCTTTGAACTCTCAGAAATCTGCTTGCCTCCACCTCTTGAGTGCTAGGACTGATTTAAGTTGTGCAACACCACACCCGCCTGTTTTTTGTTGTGATGAATAGAAGGTGTTCATGCCTCTCAGCTTTAGACTGCCATGCCAGAGTGGACACTTTTAGAGGTTTGCAGACGGAGTAGAAGAGACTTGGTGTGGGTAAAGACTTTTTTTTTTTTAATATTTATTTATTTATTATGTATACAATGTGTGTATGTCTGCAGGCCAGAAGAGGGCACCAGACCTCATTCCAGATGGTTGTGAGCCACCATGTGGTTGCTGGGAATTGAACTCAGGACCTTTGGAAGAGCAGGCAATGCTCTTAACCACTGAGCCATCTCTCCAGCCCGGGTAAAGACTTTTTGTTTTGTTTTTCAAGAAAGGATTTTATCTTGGAACTCACTCTGTAAACCAGGCTGTCCTAGAACTCAGAGATCCACCTGCTTCTGCTTCTTGAATACTGGAATTAAAGGTATGGACAGCCACTGCCTGGCTTTTGTTTTTTTCTTTTAAAAACAAGACAAAAAAATAATGGATGGCTCAGATTATCATTCTGAGTGCCAGAGTAT